GTACTGCATAAATCCAACCTTCATTGAAAAAAGCCATTTCTTAAATATATCCATAAAGTTTACCACAAGCCACTTAGGAGAAACACCAAATATGTATACATCATACTAAAGCCTCTTCCCCAATGAAATTACCAGGTTAACCCGGGTTTTCAAACAGGGGTCGACCAGCTAACAATCGGAATTTGGCTTCCCACCCATTGGCAAAAATGGAGGGTCTAACATCCTTCTGGCAAAATGCATGGCCTCTGTCCCTTGCTGTTTGATGTCTGGTGACAAATCACACTGGATTAGCATTGATAATGGGAGCAGTGCAACAAAAATCAGGGAAGTAAACAATGAAAAACAACATGTAAGGAAGCCAGGGTGTTCTAAATGTGATTTATTGTTTCGCTCCTTTGTCTGTCCCAATCCTTCTCACCAGTGCCGTGCCATTCTTATTAAATTTAAACAGGGCTGTTTTGGATTTTTAGCCAAGCCGGTTTTAAAACAAGGCACTTGCTAGCTGTTTGACCCGGGTAGACACACATCAGTGAGCTGTTCCCACTACCACTTAAAACCGATTTATCCCGGGTTTAAACGGGTTTTTCAGTCAGTGGGACAAGGATATATGTTAGCCTACAACTGCCCCATTTAGCAATTTCCACAAACCCAAACTGGGTCCTTCCTAGGTAAGTGCCAATGGGGCATTTACATGAGAAAAGGGAATGAGTTCTGAAAGAAGAACAAGAATTTGAGAAGAAGGTTTGGAGCACTACTGACACACTCACCCCTTCTCCTCCCCTGACTAGTTGGTAAATAATAAAATATCTGCACATACTTAACTGACCTACACATTAACAAACAAACAATATGCCAACATTAACATCTAAAACCAAAAATAACATTATTTTGATTAAATGTTTGGCTGCTACAACTGGAAATGTTCTAAAGCTCTCATTTTTATTGAAAACAAGACTAAAGTAATTATGTTTGAGCAAATAGTTATTGCTTGTTATCATGATTTAATGGTACAATTTGTATCTTAAAAATTTGGAAGTTAGATGAAATGTTACTTTTAATATTGAAAGTCAGATTTGTTCACTAATCATTTTTTAAATTGATGTATGAAAGGTAAAACATATATGTTTCCAGGATGTCCAACACATCCCCACTTGATCTACTTTTTATGTTATTAGTCAGATCTGCTTGAAAAGACTGCAGATGATCTGCTTTTAGCTGTTCCAAGGTCTCCACTGGTTCACAAAGGAAACTTCCATTTGAATTATTCTTTTGTGTGTGTTTTATATAATTAAGCTTTGAACTGTAGTCTTCTGTCTAAATCAGCTTACCACACAGGAATGGCATTATCTACTGAATTATTGCCAAGATTTTCTTTTTTTAATTTAAACAGGTGAAATTCCATACATTTACCTTTTACTATTTAATATTTCCCTAATCCTAAACCCCATCATACTCAGATGATCTGTTTCAGCAAGTCAGATTCATAACCCTTAGAGCACATTTCCCACTCTCCTTGCTCTATCAGACATTATTCTCACCAGCAGCATGTTCATCCATACCTGAGATCTTCCAGTTTCCAGTGTGGATCTTTAACTCCGGCCAAAAGCAGCTTCAGTCCGATGTCTCCGGGATGGTTGTAGCTCAGGTCCAACTTTTTCAGATGAGAGGGGTTGGAGTTCAGAGCTGAGGCCAGAGAAGCACAACCTTCCTCTGAGATCAGACAGCCCGACAAGCTACAGACACACAATTAAAAAAAGAAAAACCATAAAAAAACACCATCAATTGGTTATTAATAAGGTAATGATATAAATATAATGTATTTAGTTTTATAGGTCATAAAAGTAACATTTCACACATTCAAACTTATAAATCCTGAAAGTGAAAACTAGCAAAAAATAACAAATTCTGCAAAAAGAGATTCCTTTAAGTACGACGGAGTATTAGGGCCACACATGAAGAGAAAAAATATTTTTGCCATGACGAGATTAAACTCGACATGTCGACTTTAAAGTCGACATGTCGACTTTAAAGTCGACATGTCGACTTTAAACTCGCCATTTCGAGAATAAAGTTGAAATGTCATGTTGAGTTTAATCTCGACGTGTCGACAATAAAGTTTAAATTAGTTCAAGAGAGCCAACCGCTGCACAGGATACATGCACAGAATCCTATACAGTTGCAGCACGTCAAAGACTACCTTCACTCTTAAAACGCAGACTGCAGCTGTGGAGCGCGGTTGCTCTTTTCTCCAAACTTTGGAATGTCGAGATTAAAGTCGTCACGATATATCAACTTTATTCTCGAAATGGCGAGTTTAAAGTCGACAGGGCGAGTTTAAAGTCGACACGTCGAGATTAAACTCAACATGACATTTCAACTTTATTCTCAAAATGTTGAGTTTAATGTCGACATGTCGACTTTAAAGTCGACATGTCGAATTTAATCTCGTCATGGCAAAAATATTTTTTCTCTTCATGTGTGGCCCTAATACTCCGTCGTATTTAAGCCTTCTTCAAACTCTGACCAAATATAAACAGCTGGTCCTACTGGAACCATTATTCTGGTATTTAGGTAGCTTTAGATTGAAAACATTTACCTTAGAGTTTCCAGTTTGCAGTTTTGACTCTTCAGTCCAACAGAGATATTCTTCCCTCCTGAATTATGCAGGTTATTATTACTCAGGTTTAGTTCTTTAAGAGTGATGGACTGGGAGCTGAGAACTGAGGCCAGAGCTTCACAACTTCCTTCTAAGATGTCACATCGACTGAGTCTGAAACAGTGAGAATAATTTGATAATAAGCATCCATCCATCTATACACACATACATGCATATATACTGTACATCTATGCAAGAAATGATGCTAATACATTAATATACAGCACTGGTGTGGTTTCAAAGAGAATAAAGGTCAGATAAGAAGAGCTGCCATAGTTATTATTGAAATAATGTTTACCCCACCCTGTATAAAATCACAGTAATCTGAACCATGGCAAACATAAAATAGTCTTAAATCAGAGGCAACTGGACTTTCATTCAGTTTTTCAACACCTATTCAAAAGTCTTCGTCAATTCTGTCTCGCACTAAAGCAAGCTTTAGTTGGAGCACTTATGTTTTAAGCAACATAATCCTCCCACGCACAAGTCTGATTCAAGTCAAAGACTCTCCAGGGTTGTTGAAGTCTTTTGTTGTGTAGAGGTTTTGTGTTTGACTATTTTAGTCGTGATGTAAGTGCTTCTTTGAATGAGTTCTAGGACCAAATTGTCAGTGCTTGGAAGCTGAAACCACATTCCTCCCAATCTATTTAGTAATGATATTTCTCTCTTGATAAAGATAACTTCCTTGACCCCTCTTTTAAACCATCTCTGGCCAAAATCTAACAGTTTTGGTTGTCAAAGATGTGTCCTGTTATTTTTAAAGTATAAAGCAGATCATATTTAAAAGCTGTCAATAGATAGAAATTTGGTTTTGAAAGGACTGGAAACAAGAACCTTAAAGTTTCCAGTTTGCAATTTGGACTCTCTAGTCCAGCAGAAAGAATCTTCACTCCTGAATCCCCCAGGTTGTTGTTACACAGGTCCAATTCTCTGAGACTTGAGGACTGAGAGCTGAGAACTGAGGCCAAGGCTTCACAGCTTTGTTCGGAGAGGTCACAGCCACTCAATCTGAGGAGACAGACAGGGAGAAAAACAAATGGTCAAACAATGCATTTTTCTTAATTAAATTTTTATAATTTTCAGTTTCCCCTAGAAGGTCTAATTCATTTTATAAAAATGTTGCGATCCATTCTTGCTGATGTTGTAGTACGCCGCTCTGAAGACACACCCCTTGGCTGGAGGTTTTAAAAACCCTAGTTTCCCATATTTTGCCTATTTTGCAGGTGGCTCAAAGGCTAGACAAAAGCCCTTCCAGCTAAGGGCTATGCTACGTAGCAACCAAATCCCTCTGGAGAAGTCTGTGCTTGCTGGATCGAGTCAGACTGCCCTTTTCCTGCATTTCAGAAGGAGCTGAACGCAGTGTTTTTACTCTTCCACAGATTGAAACCGAGCGAATGAGGTATATCCTGAATTCTGCTCAAGCAGAGACAGGTAGAGCTAATCCATCTCTGCTAACCACCTAACAACAGGGGCCCTGATCGCTGAAGAAGCCGTTAGAAGCTGCTGGACTACTGTATAACCGCCTGTGAGCAGAGGTACAGAGCAGTGCCGTGGAGGTGCTTCTACAACCTGTGGCTACGTGCTAACCACCGCAGCTAGATGGGAGACTACCCGCGTGCTACCGTGAGTTATAAAATTAAGCCCCTTGCAAATCGCTTCTTATTGTTACATCGGACTGATCCAAATCTCTTTGAGTTGCTGTTGGATGAACGGACTGGACCGAAGACGGGTCTTCAGAACACCAGGCCGAGCTGAAGGCCTTCACTCCACTGAACCGAACTGCATCCTTCCCCCTCCTTCATATCTGATGCTTAATAAGTGCTCTGCTTGGGTAAACTATAGGTAGAGATAAATAGTCGTATTGGTGTTTTTATTTGAAATAAGATTTCTGATTCAACTGATGGTTAAAGGTTTAACTGAATGCTAATGCTCATTACAGATCGAACCAGTCACATGTTGCAGAAGCTAACTGCTACATCGTCAGCTAACCCTCTCTTTGTTTCAGTTAGACCCGACCAGAACCAAAACCCCTGCGGCCAGCTAAGCTAGCGGGTCTTTGAGTCTCATCAGAGTTTAATGCATTCCTGAGTCATTATTCATTTTCCACCATAAACTGAACGAAACTTCACTGTTTTGACTGCAGTTAACATCTGTATTAGGGTTTATTTACATTTTTTCTCCTGCTATTATAAAGGACACTTTCAAATGCATTAAGCCTTAAACTTCGAACATCCCGGACTTTAAAGGGACTCTTAAACCCCTCTTCCCGTTTTATTTCTTTAATTTTGCTTATTTTCAGTATTGTTTAGTGTTTTGCTTAGTTATTAGATATAAGACTGTGTGATTGTAGCTAATAAAGGTACCATTTTATTTTTAACCCGTGGTCTTTTGTGTTAAAAACACAAACCTAAAATACTGTGTTATACTGGCTGAAGGACAGATTTGTTGCTCTTCTTCCTTTAACAAGCCTTTGCACCATCACCATGTCCCTCCATACCTGAGAGTTTCCAGTCTCCAGGAAAGATCCTTGAGGCCATTTGACAGCATCTTCACTCCTGAGTCTCCAAGATCATTGTTGCTCAGGTCCAGTTCTTTAAGATGGTAGGGGTTTGAGTTCAGAGCTAAGGCTAGAGAAGCACAGCCTTCCTTTGAGATCAGACACCCTGACAAGCTGCAGAGACACAATTCAACACAAATGATGTAGTCATGATAAACTTGTGGTAGAATTTACATACACAACTGGAGTCCCGTTTATAAAACGTCTCTAAACTTTACTGAACCTACTGAAAGTGCACATATGCAAAACCTTTGAAAAAATCCAAAGAAAAATAAAAAATAAAATACAATTTCTTTTCATAGGATATTTCGGTTGAAACCTGATTGGACTGTTCTCCTGCTCCTCTAATCACAGATAAGACAATCCAATTGAAACCCAGCTTATCTAAGCTGCATTTCAGTAATAATAACAACCACTAGCTGAGTAAAAAGCAGATACTTCAAGTAGAGCTACCCCACTCTTACCTAGTCAGACAAAAAGAAGGGCCAACCTTCGCTGAGTAAAAAGTATATTACACACCTAGACAACTTTTATTGTCAGTTTATAGAAAAATGAAATTTCGTTTAGTACTGCTTTCTTAGACAGTAAATGAATTTTTCCATTTCATAAACTGCATCGGTGATCAAATGTAAACAGTGTGGAAGGAAAAAACATGGTCAAAAAATGCATTAATATGGAAGTTCAGAACACTATTATATATAGTGCAAATATTCAGTATTTTTGGTTTGTTGTTATCAATGTTATGCAGAGTCTGTAACATGATTTAGAGATTTTTGAACAGTTCAGCTGTCTGATGGCGAAACTGAAGAAGCTGTTTCAGAACCTGCTGGAACTGCTTTAGATGTTTCGAAGCCTCTTCCAAGAGGCAGCAGGGAGAACAGTCCATGGTGGGGGTGTGAGGGGTCACTGATGCTCTCCTTATTCTCCGCAGGAAGTACAAGTTCTTTTGTGCCCTTTTGACTAGTGAGGTGGTGTTTACAGTTTAGGTGAGGTTGTCTGTAATGTGCAACCTCAGGAATTTGCAGACCACTTCTACATATACTCAGTAGATCTACCCTACTCTTCCCTACTCAGATAAATATCATTTGTAACCAAACTTAACATCTCTGTATCTTTGAGATAAGGCACAGCACAAACATATAAGAATCCTTAATCAATGTAACACAGATAATGAGATTTAGCATGGCAGGGCAAAAGCCTAAAAATGCATCTTTCACAGCCATCGAATTGGACACTTTGATGATGGCATATGCAGTCTGTCAACACCTAACGGGCATCATGCACCAACGAGAAAAGGAGGCATCCATTAAAGGAAAGCTCTCCTTTCCTTCTCTTTCCCTATGCCCTGAGGGTGTAGCTTCAAATTAAGATTTTAAAGGCTTCTGTACTCGTTTCCAGGGAGAATCATGTTATATGCACTACCTTAATTTGACCCTCTTATGTGCTTGTGCTCACCCTAAACTCAGAGTTGATTAGCTGCTGAGTGTTGTTACCCAATTGATATCACCTGTTCAGGAATACTTAAACCAAATTTGATTTAGTTTATTTGTATAATTCGCAAGACATGTAATCTCAACACACTTTACCAAGACAAAAGAGTTGAGTCATACAGTCAGATTGGTAAAGGATGTATGGCAAAGGAATACATCTTATTGCATTGAGTCATTAATATATCTAGGATTGTGACTCCACAGCAGTAACTCATACCAAAAGCTGATAATTCTTACGGTGCGCTGAGACCAAAAGTGTTTTAGTCATCAATACATCTGATTTATATGGAAAGTCTATGCTTTCTCTTGGTGTAATTAAAAATTTTTTACCGACAAATATAGTTCATGGGAATCAAAGGGAATCAAATTTTACAGAATAAGAAATTACATCATCATTGGTAGCAGGTTTTGAATAAATGTGTGGTTTCAACAGGGTCAAGAGCATTTACCTGAGAGTTTCTAGTTTGCAGTTTGGACTTTCCAGTCCAATAGATAGAAGCTTCATTCCAGAATCCTGCAGCTTGTTATTACTCAGGTCCAGTTTTATGTGATTGGAGGATTGAGAGCAAAGAACTGAAGACAAAGCTTCACAGGTTCTGTCTGACAGGTTAGAGTCGCTCAATCTAAGGAGAAAAGGGAGAAACATCAGCTAACAATCCAAAAACAGTTAAAATTCTTTACACTTGCCAATAATGTTCTGATTGGAAAAAATAATGAATTGTCTGATTTAAATGACAACTGCTCATTTAAATGTTTGTTTTTCTTTATCACAAATTCCTTTTAAAATTTCCCATTATGTGAAATTAGTTTTCCTCTGGTTACCACAGTTGCCTCTGTAGGCTCTATTAGTCAGTTATTGTGAGTGTGATTCAGGTCATATTCTTTAAGGGTGGATGATAATGTTGTGTTCCTTTACTTCTTTAGTTAATTTTTATTTGCTATTTTGTACAGTTTGCATCTGCTCCATATGTGTTATTTACATCTACACTGTAATATACACATCAAAAACATGAAGTACAGTCGGTCCATGAGGCCCAGAGTTAAGCATCTCTGTTTTAAACTATTTTTTCAGGTTTTATAGCCTTTTGAGATCTGTAGGCTTTCATTACCTATTTTTTCAGAAACTGATACAAAGGAATTTTCCAAGTTTTGGACAATAAATGGCATGTCTATTCCATTCATTTGTATTTTTATCAATTCTATTATTCATGCTGCCTGTAGTGGTAATACGGATCTTTATAAATAAACTAAACCAATTTGAATTAATAAGGTCTTCATTATTAACAATTTCTCATAATGAGAAGCAATGAGGTAACAATCTTTGTACTTACAACATTTTACTGGAGACTTTAACTACTGGCAGAAGCCTCAGAAAAACCTCCTCTGAAGCAGAGTATTTCTTCAGGTCAAACACATTGAGATCTTTGCCTGATGAGATTAAGATGAAACCCAGAGCTGACCACTGAGAAGGAGACATTTCATCTGTGGAGAGATGTCCTGAAACCAAAAAGTTTTGAATCTCCTCCACTAGAGAGCAGTCATGCAGTTCATTTAGACAGTGGAACAGATTGATATTTTTTTCTGCAGACACATTCTCACTTATCTTCTCTTTGATGTACTCAATAGTTTCTGGATTGGTCTGTGAGCAACATCCTGTCTGTGTCAGCAGACCTTGTAGAAGTTTCTGATTGGTCTTCAGTGAAAGTCCCAGGAGGAAGCGGAGGAACAAGTCCAGGTGTCCATTTGGACTCTGTAAGGCTTTGTCAATGGCTATCTGATAGAGAGAATTTTCTTTGGGCCCTTTAGATTTTATCTCTGCTTCTTCCAGTAGGTTGACACCAGAATTGAAGAAGGTAAGATGAACATGAAGAGCAGCCACAAACTCCTGAACAGTCAGATGGACAAAGCAAAACACCTTGTCCTGGTATAGCGCTCTCTCCTCTTTAAAAATCTGTGTGAACAATCCTGAGTACACAGAAGCAGTGGTGATGTCAATGCCACACTCTGCCAGGTCTGATTCGTAGAAAATCAGGTTTCTTTTCTGCAGCTGGTCAAAAGCTAATTTTCCCAGAGACTCAATCATCTGTATGTTCTCTGGACTCCAGTGTTGATCTGTTTCAGCTCCTTCATCATACTTGACCTTCTTCACTTTGGTCTGAACCACCAGGAAGTGGATGTACATCTCAGTCAGAGTGTTTGGCAGCTGTCTTCCCTCTGTGGTCTCCAACACATCCTCCAGAACTGTAGCAGTGATCCAGCAGAAGACTGGGATGTGACACATGATGCGGATGCTTTTAGATGTCCTCATATGTGAGACAATCCTACTGGCCTTCTCCTGACCTCTGAATCTCTTTCTGAAGTACTCCTCCTTCTGTGACTCAGTAAACCCTCTGACCTCTGTCACCATGCCAACACACTCAGGAGGGATCCTACTGGCTGCTGCTCGTCGTGTGGTTAACCAGAGGAAAGCAGAGGGAAGCAGTTTCCCCCTGATGAGGTTTGTCAGCAGAACATCCACTGAGGTGGACTCTGTAACATCAGTCAGGATCTCCTTGTTGTGGAAGTCAAGAGGAAGTCGACTCTCATCCAGACCATCAAAGATGAACAGAACCTGGAGGTTTTCAAAGCTGCATATTTCTTTGGTTTCAACAAAAAAGTGATGAACAAGTTCCACCAAGCTAAACCTTTTCTCTTTCAACACATTCAGCTCTCGGAAGGCGAAAGGGAATAAAAACTGGATGTTCTGGTTGGCTTTCCCTTCAGCCCAGTCAAGACTGAACTTCTGCGTCAATAGTGTTTTACCAATGCCAGCCACTCCCTTTGTCATCACCGTTCTGATTGGTTGATCTCTTCCGGATGGGACTTTAAAGAGGTCCTCTGTTCTGATTGTTGTTTCTGGTCTGTTTTGTTTCATGGATGCTGCTTCAATCTGTCTGACCTCATGTTCTTCATTGACCTCTCCAGTTCCTCCCTTTGTGATGAACAAATCTGTGTAGATCTGGTTTAGAAGGGTTTGGCTTCCTGCTTTAGTAATCCCCTCAAACACATACTGGAACTTCTTCTTTAGACCAGATTTGAGTTTATGTTGACAAACTGCTAAAAGATTTTCTGAATGAAACAGAAATTAAAATTAAAAAGGAACACAATCAGCTAATTTGTTTTTCACTAACTGTAATTACATCTCTATAGACATCAGTAAATGTTTGATTTATCCATCAGGTTAAATCTTTGTAAAAATCCTCTTACTGTTCTGCAGGCGATCAGCCAGCTCCTCCTGCTTCATCATCCTCAGGAAGTTTAGTATGATCTTCATTAATGCCTGTCTGTTGCTCCCACTCAGCTCTTTATCCTCACCTTCCAAAATCCCAATATCATCCTTCTGACTCTCTATGGATCCTGGCTCATGCGAACTCAGAACCTTCTGTATCTTTTTCAGCTCCTTCTTCACAAATGTGACAATATGGTCCTCCAGCAGCTGTAACAGAATATTTTATGGAAGACACATCAGATTTAAGTAATGCAGCCAACATCAGAAAAAGGATGTACAGGTTGACAGTCTAGTTGTTGAACATTTACAGACCACAAATATGGAGTCAAGCTGGGCTTTAAGCTGCTGGGAAGATGAATCAATTTGAACATCTGAGTTCTGCAAGTCCACTCTGTGAAAGAACCAGGAATCATTATAAGAGAATAAAAATGAACATCTAGCTTTTTCAGAGATTAGATCATCAAGTGTAGCACTGCTAAAATCTTGAAACAAAAAGAAAAATGTAACTGCCCTTGTTGTTACTCGTACCAGGTGCTTGTATACTCTTATGTGTTTCTCTAAACTTTTCTCAACTACTTTAAAGTATTTAGCACTTATTTGAATCAATTTATGAATATTCCTTATACCATGTTTAGTAGACTAAATAATCAAATTTTCAAAAAAATATTTAAGATCCAGAGTAAGCAAATTTACCTTTTGGCAATTTGTTTGTTATATGAGCATATTTTATATTAGATCCTGTTTTTTAGGTGGAGAAAGGACATACCCATGCTTTTCCAAAAAGATGTCTGTATAGGTAATGTCCCTCATTTCACAATGAGGGACATTGCAAAGCTCACAAAGAAAAATAAACAAAAATTATTGAAAAATTGTATCTTATCTTATAATTCACTGTTTCAGCTTAGACAATGACAAACATTATTACCACAATATAAGATTTACATTTATCTGACACAATGAGAAGCCCTAAATATGAAGCCCAAAGATGCAACATAACTGTCTACATTATGTGTGGTAATACAGATATACTGTAGGCTACTGAATGAACAGTATACTATGTAGCCCACAATTGTCCCATTTAGCAGGGTTGGGGGAACTGGTGCCTGAGGAGAATTTGAGAATAAGGTTTGTAAAACATCGAAGCTTTTAAATATGGTACTTTTCCATTGCTGTCTATTCATTGTTACCTGCTGCGGCCTCCAGCAACCAGCTGTTCTCACCACCTAACCTAGCATGACTAGAGAAGCCTCCACTGAAGAATAGAGAAGTGCAAGAAGCCAGCAGGGGAGTCCAGAGGCTGGTTGACTCTGGGAGCAGACCAGCTCCAGCGGAGCTACCGGATGGTCTGGCCTTGGAACCAGACACACAGGGAAGCCATCTGGCATCTACCCTTAGAACACCACTTTATGTACCTTTTCTACAGCTTTTACTTGCATTTCCTTTAAAAACTGAAGGCTAAATTGAACAACTTAGCTACACGGCTCCTTCAGCAGCTACATTAAGTTCTAAAACCAAAAGCTTTCTATGATACAACTGCTAGGCTTTTCTTTTCTAAGCTTCAAAACTTTGTGCACTTTGTTTACTGTCAAGTGGTCAACATTGGAAGGCTACATTTACAAAACGTAGCTACACTTCACCTTCCACAATTACATTTAACTATAATCATCTGACTAATTATCAGGTCATTAGTCCTGGAATTCTAATTTAGGACTAGCTATGAGGTAGAGTGGACACAGTCCTGCTTGGACGGCACTGACTGTGCAAACAACCTAGGAACTTAAACAGGAACTACATCTAAAATTTAGATCAATAACATTAGACCAAACGCATTCTAGCCTGTTCTCATGGCCTGCTACTCAAACCATGACACTGAAGACTTATTGTTGAGGTGAACTGTAAGCGGACAACTCCACCCAGTTAAGGGAAAGAGGACAAGGAAAGCCACCACACTGATAAAGAAATACGGACAGATAAACCCAAACAAGGATCCTCAGAGATCCAACTATACTCATTACATATACATCCACCAACCACCTCTCATATAAGGAAAAGATAAATATGGACAAAGACAGCCACCACACTCATAAATAAATAAGGGCAGATAACCCCAAACAAGGACCCTCAGGGATCCAACTACACTCACAACATAAGCATACACTTCTGACAAACACAATTTTTTTATTTTTTTCATGGCCCACCTCACTGTGGACCTTACCAGTGCTGGGTTAGCCCATGGGGATGAGAAACCCGGGTAGTGACTACCGACATTATACTGTACCTTCCCTTTTAACAAGCCCAGGCTATCATGATCTTGGCACTAATGACTGGCTTAATTTCTAATTTCATTCACTTGTCTAACTCTGCCTGCTTTCTCATTACTGCTTATCTGATCTACCTGCTCCTGCCTCTATTTAAGCCGCCTGCTATCATTTATCAGTGTCAGATTATTTCTGTTGAGCCAGAATTGTCCAACTACTATGCTGAAAATAGTTGAAGTGAGTTAAAAGACTGAACTTTAGTTTTTCGGCTGAGCATTAGAGCTATTTCGTTAGCCTTGTTAACTCTTAATGGCTATTTGTTTCTTTGAAGTTAATCCCGTTCTCCGAGAGCAATCTCGCATTGAGATTGCTCAGATTGTTAATCCGTTTCATCTGCTTTGGTGTTAATGAATTTAAGAACAGGTGCCCTAGAGGGGCAACAACGAGACAACTATCAAACTGACTCTTTTTAACCAGTTTTGCATTTGGCTAGGGTCACTGTTACTACTGTTTGCATGAGGCGCTACCTGGCCCCTACAGAGGTTGCACAGGCAGTCCAACTCCTCCAGGATGGCACATCAATACGTGTCATTGCCAGAAGGTTTGCTTTGTCTCCCAGTACAATTTCAAGAGCATGGAGGAGATTGCAGAAGACAGGAAGTTACTCCAGGAGACCTGGACAGGGCCGTAGAAGGTCTACAACCCATCAGCAGGACCAGTATCTGCTCCTTTGTGCAAGGAGGAGCAGGAGGAGCACTGCCATAGCCCTAAAAAATGACCTCCAGCAGGCAACTGGCGTGAATGTTTCTGATCAAACAATCAGAAACAAACTTCAAAAGGGTGGCCTGAGGGCCCGACGTCCTCTAGTGGGCCCTGTGCTCACTGCCGGGCACCGTCGAGCTTGATTGGCATTTGCCACAGAACACCGGATTTGGCAAGTGCGCCACTGGCGCCCTGTGCTTTTCACAGATGAGAGCAGGTTCACCTTGAGCAGATGCGACAGATGTGAAAGGGTCTGGAGAAGCTGTGGAGAACGTTATGCTGCCTGTAACATTGTTCAGCATGACCGGTTTTGTGGTGGGTCAGTGATGGTCTGGAGAGGCATATCCATGGAGGGAGGCACAGACCTATGCAGGCTAGACAACGGCACCCTGACTGCCATTAGGTATCGGGATGAAATCCTTACACCCATTGTCAGACCCTATGCTGGTGCAGTGGGTCCTAGGTTCCTACTGGTGCACAACAATGCCCGGCCTCATGTGGCGAGAGTATGTAGGCAGTTCCTGGAGGATGAAGGAATCTATACCATCAATTGGCCCCCGCCTGAGCTAAATCCAATGGAGCGCCTCTGGGACATTATGTTTCGATCCATCCGACGCCGCCAGGTTGAACCTTAGACTGTCCAGGTGCTCAAGGATCCCCTGGTCCAGATCTGAGAGGAGATACCCCAGGACGCCATCCGACGTCTCATTAGGAGGATGCCCGGCCGTTTTTCGGGCAGGCTTCCCGGCCGTTTGGGCCATACAAATTACTGAATACCATTTTGAGTTGCTGCAATGAAATTTCGGCAAAATGGACTAGCATCATTTTTTCACTGTAATTTTTGGGGTGTCTTTGAATTCAGCCCTCTGTAGGTTAAACATTTTCATTTCCATCAAATGATGTGGCATCCTTTTGTTCCAAACATATCACCCAGTCCATATCAGTATAAACAGCATGATTTTTTTCCCCATTGAGATCTGATGTGTTTCTAAAGTGTTCCTTTAATTTTTATGAGCAGTGTATATATATATATATATATATATATATATATATATATATATATATATATATATATATATATATATATACTTGTTTGACAAGATCTATGCTTTTTATTGTCTCCCACACACACTAACTGCAGCAGATTTACCAGTCTCCATGTCTGCATACTGCCCTTTGCATGAGTCAGGAGACAAACACCCTTTCGACACATAGGCTCCCAAGAGTCAGAACAAGAACCAGGGACCTAACTAAAACTCAAAAACAAACAAACATTAATAACCAACATGAAAAAATAGGGTTAATTATCTGGCCCGAATAACTGGACTATATAAAACCGACCGAACAGGTAAATAGCATGAATGATAATTAGAGTGTGGGAAGGGAACCAAAGATGAATGTAGTGAGTAATCAGAGCAGTTATTAGGGCTGCGATCATGACAAAGATATGCAGTGTAAAAAAAAAACTTGTTTTTTATTATTGCATGTTAAAATGTTGCAGGGAATTTGAAGATGAATTCTATAAGTTAAATAAGCTCTGGATTAAAAATGATAATAAGGGATACATTTTTGGTAGTATTTTGATCCTGCCAAGAGATAAATATAAATATCAGACTGATAATGGTGAAAAACAGTCTGAATAAAAGCAATTTTCAGTAATATTTTAAAAAGTACAGTTTGACATTTGATTAGGCTGTGCATTAATTGAATCCAAGGGGACCTAAAATATTGTAAAAGTTACAAAAACAAAAAAAGACAAATATAATAACATCTTATAATTTAATTTTAATGGGGTTACTGGAAGCTTTATGCATATGTAACTCATTTACTGCCTGCAGGAATGGAGCCCCTCTTGACTCCCCCTCGGTCCTTTGGGGAAGGGAAAGAGAGACTCACTCCCCCACTCCTTGCTGAAGGAGGCTGTAAACTCATAGTAACTAGTAAGTAAGTTTAAAGGACACTGATGATTTAATATCGATAAGAAATGTAGCTCTTGAACATTTTTTGTAATTGCTTTCACTTCACATAATTGTGACGTCTGGGGCAGGACAAAAAGAGTCCTGCCTGATGTCTCTCTCGTCTGACCACTTTGAATTGTGAATTCTAATTTATTTATGCAACCCTTTTTGCTGAGGCAGGCATGAAGTTATTTCCTCTAAGTTTTTTTTTCTTTCTGTGACATGATAAGAAGTTGTGAAAAATGTAATGAAAACACAGTTTGGATGATGTTTACAAGGTAAAAGTGTAGCTTCGACTTTAAATTCAAAAATAATTTCTCTTCAGACATTATTTTCTGGGACAGGAACATGGAGTTTAATTTCATTAGTCGGTCAGTAGCCAGACCTGGTGAATTTCATCATTGAAAAAAAAAAACATCAGAGCAAGCTTGAGTCCCAATATTTATTTGACTCAAATGAGAGAAATTTGTTCAAACATTTACAGTTTTGATAAAGCTCACCTGTCTGAGGATGGAGGTCCAGAAGATTTAAAGTCAGGGGGCAGAGGCCTTGATCGATCACTCTTGAAGGACACATTGCTTAGTTCTTGATCAAATTTAAATGTCTGTTGGGTCCTGACACAAAAAAGAAAAAAATAATCTAATTTGAGATATAGTCCAAGGAATTAAAAACAGACAAACTAAAACATCACAACCTTTTAAAATAGTAGAGAGAGGATCAGGTGGGCTCTTAGCAAAGATGGCCGCTTAAAAAGATGATCCATTACCCCAAGCCAAATATATTTATATCGTTACTTTAGTCCGCCCATTTTTGTTGAAAGGACTGTATTTTGGGTGAGAATAACATTTCCAAAGCTAAACTGATTTTAATACCAATGCCTGGATGTGGTACTAGAAAGATTCAACACCCCGGTCCCCTGCCCGAGCAACAGGCTAAAATTAACAAGAAGATGGATACGTATGTTAGCAAAGGCCTGATTGAGCCACAGCAGGCCAATGCTAATGCTACATCCATTGCTACAACAAGTGCCGCAGCCAAGGGTAAAGGGATAATAACGCTAGAGTTTTTGGTCCCTTACATACAAGCAATATGTGACTCAATTGCGAACATTGAAGAAGACATGAGAGATATTAAATCGTAAATAGGGGAAATCAAGGTGAAGCTTAGAACACTGCCATCACGTGTGATGACATGGAGGAGAGAGTGGTTGTGCAGGAAGAAAGCAGAGGACCATTGGAGACTGAGCTGAGGACTGAGGAATTAGAAAGAGTGAGAGCCCATTTGGAAAGTTTGGACAATAGAGGAAGTAATATTTAAAATATGAGTCCAAGGAAGGCAAGGGCATGATAAAGTTCCTGCAGCATGAGCTTACAGTAATGCTGGGCCACTCGCTTGGGGAGCTGGTGATACAGCGCATGCATTGAGTGGGTACGGCTAGACAAGGGGTCGGCAACCCACGGCTCCGGAGCAGCATGCGGCTAATTAGCATCCCCCCTGAGGCTCCCTGGAGCTTTTTAAAAAATGTATGAAAATCGATTTTTTTTTTGTATGGTTTGCAGGAGGTCAATCAAAAATGTATTATGTTTTCCAATGCTGTAAACATTTGTATAATAAATATATTTAAACAATAATTTGCCTCACAGCCATAGATATCAGTGGTCATCACTTGCAACCAGCGTGGCGCGGTGCCAGGCAAACAAAGCGGTGGGTGTGTCTCAGACCATGGATCCCAAACAGAAAAAAAGAAGATAGCTAATGAGGAAAGAGGATTCAAAGAATGGACCAAATCATTTGGTCTTGGTCTTTCATGATCATTTTTGCTTTTTTAATGAGAGGTTGTCAAAAAATAAAAAGAAACATTTGGAAAGGCATTTCCAGGGAAGGCTAAATATGCAGCCGACCACCAAGTTGGGAGTTAGAGAAAAAGTATGATTGCAGAACTTCTGGATAAATTAGAAGAGCGCAAAGTTGGATTTAAGAAGTGGATTGCATCTCCAAACTCCACTACTGCTGCTAGTTTTGCTGTAAGGATGGAAAACCATCCACAGATCAAACAGGTAGCGCTTTGATGCAGGTATCTGAACTTTCTTCCATTTTTTCCCCCAAATCCTAAAAATATAAATCAAACCAAGGAACGATGGTGACGGAGGATGTGGGATTTCAGGGTTAGAGAGCTCTGCTCCGAAGGATGTCAGTTCCTGCTTGGTTCCACATGACTCAGTCAACTCCACCCAACAGAAACACGTTCACCATAGATCCTCTTTATTGTGTTTCTATAATTTCATCAATGCAACAGAACCTAAACCGTGCAGTGAAGGGCTGTAAATTCTATGCTGTGCGAGCGTTCACTGTTCCTCCCTCACTGCTATGTGACATTTGCTCCAGGATTAACATTTAACAATGAATGCTTATTATATATTTAAGCCCACATAGTCCTTTTCTATAGTGGGATAATACACTTAGAGCCTGTGTTGCCATACATATTTTTTGTCTTTAAAAATAATTATTCAGTTAATTTCTTTTCTTTTAATTTCACCCATTCTGGAGTGTGTATGTCGCCCCATCCTATCTCAGAGGGGACTTGTGTCATTTTATACAAACCAAGTGGGGACTTTCAACAACTGAATTATAAAAAATGCCACACATTTTAAAAGGTGCTCTGCCGATAATGCAAGCGTAGAAGAAGAAATGTGCT